GGGGGGGGGGGGCCAAATGGGCCGGAAAACAGATGACAAAACATATTGAGCTGGGAGGTGAAAAGAGAAAACTTTAGAGAAGAATGATGTCCCAGTCATGTTTCAGACCTATTGAATGAGAGGCAAACACTGTAACTCTAAACTCTATAGACCACGATCAGAGCCCCCCCCCCCCCCCCCCCCCAGAAAAACGTGTATTATTCGCTAGATCTAGTTAAGTTATAGCAAGGTTTAACAATGTTTCGTCCTCCAAGGTTTAACAATGTTTCGTCCTCCAAGGTTTAACAATGTTTCGTCCTCCAAGGTTTAACAACAATGTTTCGTCCTCCAAGGTTTAACAACAATGTTTCGTCCTGGCATGACGGGACGAACAGTAACTAGGCTAATCGACTGCACTGTCGCATGTGTTGTGAAGAATTAGAGGAAGGAATGTGTAGAAGCAAACATTATAATATGTCTATGCTATGATAATAAGGCCCAAGGATAGATCTAGATCTAGATCAGGTCCTAGTAGACCCACTAGGCCCGCTACATTAGGCCCTTCTAGACCAAAAATCTAGACCCGGACACTGATACTAAATCTAGATCTAGATCTAGATCTACAATCTATTATCTAATCTAGATCTATATCTATATCTACATCTATATCTAGATCTATATCTCTAGGATTCTAGATCTAGATCTAGGTCTAGAGTCCAGGTATTCTAGATCTAGATCTAGATCTAGATAGATCTAGATATCTAGTTAGGCCTAGATCTAGATCTAGATAAGCCTAGATCTAGATCTAGATATGAGAAAAACGATATTAAATAAGGTTAATGAAAAAGTACATGTGCAAATTCTTACATTTCAGGGTCCTTTGGAAAGCTAAAGAATGCTAGGTCTGGTAATTGTGCGATCTTGAATTGGCACGGACGCAGACTGCCGCAAAACACCACTTACACTTGCAGGTGACTTGCGACTGCCGACAGCCGCCATTAGCTTTGTTTACCGCGCCTCGTTTCACAATCAGCTGGTGACCTGGATACGCGAAAAGAGGCTTCGTTTCCGCTCTCTATAATTAAATACTCTCTGTATATACAAATGTAATATGTGAGAGTTCCCGTGGAAATAAGTGTCTATCCGATTGAGTAAATATTCCCCCTGTTTGTCTAAGAATTCAGCGTAATATGGCGACGATATGTCCTCAAAAATAATTATTTTAAAATATTTTCAATCAGTTTTGAGCAAATTTCTTAAAATATATGATGTAGAAATGGTCTATCTTTCTGAATTTCATATAATTTCGTTTTCGATAAAATTAAAAGTGAAGTTCAGGGCCTATTTTTAGCGATATCTCAGAATAGCTTCTCGCACCATCCGACGGGTTTTCTCAGAGCCGCTCACAATTATCTCAATCCATTTCATTCAAGTATGGAGGAAATGATGTCGAAAAAACAAAACAAAAACAAGCAACTTTACAAATTGAAAGTGATTTAAAACATGGGTCTCTACATCTTTCTTTCCACTCCTTACACAAGAGGATGTCGGTAAAAGGATGTGACCCTCTACAAAAAGAACAAAAATGCAATAGTTGAGTTTATACATCATATTTCCACTCCTTAAACCACGTGGAGATTGGTCTTATAGATGTAACTCAATAGAATGACCAAACACAAAATGAGAATAGACATCTGCTTTCCTCTTGAAAAAAAAAAAGAATGGTGATCTGAACATATAACCTCAAATTGTATGGATTGAATTACCTAATTTAACGTATTCATACAAGGTATCTGATCCCATAAAATCGGCGGATTCCAAGTAGTGTCCTTTTAGAAATTTTGATTTATAATAATATTGCTCCATTTTTTATTTTAATATTATTTCATTATTTTACTCAAATGATTCTATTGTTAGTATTATTGTTTTTTATATTGATGTTATGGCCGTGTTGTTTCTTCTTCTTCTTCTTCTTCTTCTTCTTCTTCTTCTTCTTCTTCTTCTTCTTCTTCTTCTTCTTCCTCTTCCTCTTCCTCTTCCTCTTCTTCTTCTTCTTCTTCTTCTTCTTCTTCTTCTTCTTCTTCTTCTTCTTCTTCTTCTTCTTCTTCTTCTTCTTCTTCTTCTTCTTCTTCTTCTTCTTCTTCTTCTTCTTCTTCTTCTTCTTCTTCTTCAATATTTGTATTATGATAATCATTAGCATTATTTATTTATTTATTTATTATTTATTTATGTATGTATGTATTTATTTATTTATTTATCATTTAATTGATGGGGTTTTTTTTTCTTAATTATCATTAATACTGCCCTTAATCCATAAACGTGTTATCGATAAAAATAGACGGTATCATAAATGATGACACTATGAGGGGGGGAGGGGGGGGGGAGGCAATTACAGCGAATTATAGGCGATTTCCAGGTTGAGAACCATAGATATGGGGTACATAGAAGCGGAACCAATAAATTGGCAAAAAGATATTATTAATCCGAATACAGGAAAAAGAGGCTAAAACAGCACCTGGACATGGATGGCTATTGGCTGGTGCCTCTATAAATAAATCATTGATGGTCTGGTCTGGTCCCAAGAGAGATGCTTTACGATAACGTCATCATCATCACTATTGCCTTTCTTACCCTGGGTCAGGATATAGGCCACGAACAAACACTCTCCACCTTTCCCTATCCTGGGCTAGTCGCTTAATGTCACTCCACATCTTCCCACTTTTCTGTACATCCATTTCCGTGACTCTTGTCCAGGTTCCACGAGGTCTTCCCCTTGATCTTTTACCCTGTGGGTTCCAATCTAACACTTTTCTTGTTATGCAGCTGCTTGACTTCCTGAGAGTGTGTCCAATCCATCGCCTCATCTCTGACCAGGCTCTGTCTGGTTCTTCTTAATACTTTCTCGTTGGTGATCCTGTCTGTCCATTTGATCCTCTGCAGCCTCCTCAGACACTTGTTCAAGAAAACCTGGATCCTCTTTATGCACGTATGGGATGCGTTCCACGTCTCACACCGATACAACAAGACTGACTTCACATTTGAGTTGAAAATTCTAAGCTTTGTTCGTAATGAGATATCCCTGGTCCTCCAAATCCTGCTCAAAGAAATAAATGCAGCCTGTGCCTTTCCAATGCGGGACTTTATTTCAGCGCCTGTTCCTCCCTCTCTGTCCATTATACTCCCAAGATAGCAAAAGGATTCGACGTCTTCTAGTGCATTTCCTTGTACTGTGACCTGCTCCTTTCGCAGTGCATCTATCCTTAGGACTTTCGACTTTCCGGAGTGGATCTTCAATCCAACAGACTC